AGAGAGAGAGAGAGAGAGAGGGAGAGAGAGAGAGAGAGAGAGAGAGAGAGAGAGAGTTGCAGCTGAAACTCAATCGTTTTATGAAATAATAATCGAGTTCTCTTGACGTGCAAGAGACGTGTCACTCAACCACCGAACTGTATGTACTCTTTTGTATGTACTCTTTTGTATGTACTCTTTTGTATGTACTCTTTTGTATGTACGTATCAACTTTCATTAGGGGAAATCCCATGGACAGCTAGAAAAACAAAAATGAAGAAGTCTTGGTTGAAGAAATTGCAGAGACAGCTTATGACGAATATACTCAAACGACAGGCAAAATTTCTTCGGACACACAATGCAGAATATTATAACAACAGGCAAGTTTGATGGAAAGAGGGGCAGAGGCAGACAGAGGGAAAAGATACTGGACAAGTTGACAACTTGGCTGGGAGCAGCAAGAACAACAGACACCATTGCTGCAACGCAAGACAGAGTGAAGTGGAGGTCCATGATCGCCCACACCAGTCGGCATGGCACCGGATGATGATGATCAACTCTCATTGGTTCTTTGGCCACATAGATATATCAAATGTGAGGCAGCGTGGTGGAATCAGGCTCTCGTCAATTTTTTGGCATGTAGTATGAGAGTTATTGGTCTCATCGTAAAGCTTGTTCACCTGTGTTTATTTGGATGGGGGAAAAATCCATTTATCTTAAATACAAGTCGAGATATTTGCCAAAGAAGGAGGTTGGGGTCACCAGTTTTTAGAGGTAAAATTAGTGAGAAAATGGCAACCAAAAATTAGTTATTTTCTTAGCTTAAGACTAAGTGGTAACTGAATATTTACTTTTTTCTGCCTTAAACAAACGTTTTTCAGAAAAAGCCACACATAAATGAGTTCTTAAATGGGCATGAAAGGTGTTGAGCCAAAACACAAAAATTTGATATAAATTCACAAACCTGCGGAAAAATACAAGTTTCTTCACTTGATTATTTTGACGAGAGCCTGATTCCACCGCGCTGCGTCACAAATAGACTATAGAAACTACCGCTGGGTGGAAAGGTACAGAGGAGGAAGAGCAGAGGAAGACAATGAACGACATACGCAGATGGCCTGATCGAAGAACTCGGCAACGAATAACACAAAGAGAAAAACCGAGCTGATCAAGGAGACAGACGACTGGATAAGTGAGGCATGCTGACAAAATGAGTTACTTTTTGCAATCCACAAATGGAGATATTGGCCAAAATCGACTCTAAGGTCAAATTTGTAGATTAAAAAAAAATTGATGACTCATTTGTTAACATTAACATGTCTTTTGTTACTTTATACTTATAAATTGTAAAAACTTCACCTATAAACGTGGTGTATCTATTTCCACAGGGTTCATATCCGAGAAGTAACTCATTTTGTCAGCACGCTTCACATATTATGGAATGGCGGAAGGGGGGGGGGGTACCATGATCGTCAATGTCTGTCTGCTCCAGACCTAATCAACACTGACACCCAGTGTTGCCCACTCCTCTGGGCTCCTGACTCTTTCTGCTGCCTTTCCACTCTTTCTCCTTGGCTTTTTCTCACTGCTGTGAAAATGGTGAAATGTTATGGGTTTAACGCCCATATCAACACTATTAGGTTATTTAAGGGGCGGGGCCTCCTAGTTTAACGATCGTCTCCGATAGGAATGAGCCAAGTAGAAAGTTCGTGTAAAGAGCCTTTCCCAAGAGCATAGCGTCGGACCGAGCTGAGGCTCGAACCCCCGAACCCGCAATCTCACGATTACGAGTCCGGTAGCCTAACCACCGACGCCACTGCACTGCTGTCTTTCAGGCCCACCCTTTATCTTAGGGTAGGTAAGATTTTACACCTAGCCCTCTCGGATATGGGCGGTAAAATCTTGGAGGGGTCGTGCGCAAGATGAGTACGTTAAAGATCCCTTGGAGGCCCTAAAATCGGCAAGAATAGGCTTAGGCCTCCTCCCGGAAAAATTCCAAAAATTATTTCCTACCAAACTGAAAATACTTAAACTTAATGTGTCCCACACGCTCGTATAACCTTATTCAGTTGCCAAAACCGTAAAACACTTATCTTATATAAAAAAAAACAACAACAACAACCCCAACCTGACACCTGAAAAAGTAGAAGAAAAAGAATCTTATCTCAAAGATCAATATTATTGTTCTTCAACTCTTAAGTTTACGAAGCACAAGTTCTGCAGCCTCTCGCAGCATCACTCGATTCTTTACAGTACCGGTACAGTCGTTTTAGTTAGTTTTAGTGGAGGTTTTACGGCACTCTCAACTGCATAAGATCTTAGGAGCGCCTTACAGTCTTTAACAAAACTGTATCAATCCTCAGCACATTCATCTGATCTATTTTCAAACTCTCTGTTTACTGCCGGGAAAATGTATTTCTACTCATTTTGAAATTTGATGTCTATTTTTTTTTTGGCAATAAGTTAAACAGGAGCGGGGCTATTGGGAAGTTTGTGACGCTAGTTTTAGTAAGAGTTTTACGGCACTTGCAACACAAAAAGGTCATATAAGTGCCGTAGATAAGTAGAAGCGTTACAAGAGAGTTACAGACATAAAAAAAGAAGGTAAGACAAGAACGATAGATATTTGATAGGAAAGAAGGAGCAAACCACACCAGAGCACCCGCCAACCACCAGCAGGGAGTTTGTGAAGGTAAAAACCCGGAAGAGAAAATTGGCTGCGTACAATGGATGAGACGTCTCATGCGATTACCAACACACCACCCAGCACAACGTGCCTACATAATAAAAATGCGACGGCAACAAGGCTAGAGGGCGACCGAGAAAGACCTGGATAAATGGAGTCAGGGAAACATTAACAACTCATGGCATCCCCCCTGACCCATGCTCTCCGGCTAGTGGCAGAGAGACGTCTCTTTCTTCCCGCGACACCCAAAAAGGTATAAGCGGGGGAAAAAAAAAGTAAAGTAAAGTACAAAGGATGAACAGCCTTCCGTAAACGAAGAGTTGAAAAATTATGAAAATCGTCTCCTTCGACAGGGGAAAATAATCATTAACATCCCCCCCCCACCCCCCGAAAAAAAGACTCCGCACATACACACACACAAACACACACACACACACACACACACACACACTCACACACACACACA